GGTGCCTGCTTTTGAGTCGACTCAAAAGCAGCGTGCAGCGGAGTGGTGCCTGCTTTTGAGTCGACTCAAAAGCAGCGTGCAGCGGAGTGGTGCCTGCTTTTGAGTCGACTCAAAAGCAGCGTGCAGCGGAGTGGTGCCTGCTTTTGAGTCGACTCAAAAGCAGCGTGCAGCGGAGTGGTGCCTGCTTTTGAGTCGACTCAAAAGCAGCGTGCAGCGGAGTGGTGCCTGCTTTTGAGTCGACTCAAAAGCAGCGTGCAGCGGAGTGGTGCCTGCTTTTGAGTCGACTCAAAAGCAGCGTGCAGCGGAGTGGTGCCTGCTTTTGAGTCGACTCAAAAGCAGCGTGCAGCGGAGTGGTGCCTGCTTTTGAGTCGACTCAAAAGCAGCGTGCAGCGGAGTGGTGCCTGCTTTTGAGTCGACTCAAAAGCAGCGTGCAGCGGAGTGGTGCCTGCTTTTGAGTCGACTCAAAAGCAGCGTGCAGCGGAGTGGTGCCTGCTTTTGAGTCGACTCAAAAGCAGCGTGCAGCGGAGTGGTGCCTGCTTTTGAGTCGACTCAAAAGCAGCGTGCAGCGGAGTGGTGCCTGCTTTTGAGTCGACTCAAAAGCAGCGTGCAGCGGAGTGGTGCCTGCTTTTGAGTCGACTCAAAAGCAGCGTGCAGCGGAGTGGTGCCTGCTTTTGAGTCGACTCAAAAGCAGCGTGCAGCGGAGTGGTGCCTGCTTTTGAGTCGACTCAAAAGCAGCGTGCAGCGGAGTGGTGCCTGCTTTTGAGTCGACTCAAAAGCAGCGTGCAGCGGAGTGGTGCCTGCTTTTGAGTCGACTCAAAAGCAGCGTGCAGCGGAGTGGTGCCTGCTTTTGAGTCGACTCAAAAGCAGCGTGCAGCGGAGTGGTGCCTGCTTTTGAGTCGACTCAAAAGCAGCGTGCAGCGGAGTGGTGCCTGCTTTTGAGTCGACTCAAAAGCAGCGTGCAGCGGAGTGGTGCCTGCTTTTGAGTCGACTCAAAAGCAGCGTGCAGCGGAGTGGTGCCTGCTTTTGAGTCGACTCAAAAGCAGCGTGCAGCGGAGTGGTGCCTGCTTTTGAGTCGACTCAAAAGCAGCGTGCAGCGGAGTGGTGCCTGCTTTTGAGTCGACTCAAAAGCAGCGTGCAGCGGAGTGGTGCCTGCTTTTGAGTCGACTCAAAAGCAGCGTGCAGCGGAGTGGTGCCTGCTTTTGAGTCGACTCAAAAGCAGCGTGCAGCGGAGTGGTGCCTGCTTTTGAGTCGACTCAAAAGCAGCGTGCAGCGGAGTGGTGCCTGCTTTTGAGTCGACTCAAAAGCAGCGTGCAGCGGAGTGGTGCCTGCTTTTGAGTCGACTCAAAAGCAGCGTGCAGCGGAGTGGTGCCTGCTTTTGAGTCGACTCAAAAGCAGCGTGCAGCGGAGTGGTGCCTGCTTTTGAGTCGACTCAAAAGCAGCGTGCAGCGGAGTGGTGCCTGCTTTTGAGTCGACTCAAAAGCAGCGTGCAGCGGAGTGGTGCCTGCTTTTGAGTCGACTCAAAAGCAGCGTGCAGCGGAGTGGTGCCTGCTTTTGAGTCGACTCAAAAGCAGCGTGCAGCGGAGTGGTGCCTGCTTTTGAGTCGACTCAAAAGCAGCGTGCAGCGGAGTGGTGCCTGCTTTTGAGTCGACTCAAAAGCAGCGTGCAGCGGAGTGGTGCCTGCTTTTGAGTCGACTCAAAAGCAGCGTGCAGCGGAGTGGTGCCTGCTTTTGAGTCGACTCAAAAGCAGCGTGCAGCGGAGTGGTGCCTGCTTTTGAGTCGACTCAAAAGCAGCGTGCAGCGGAGTGGTGCCTGCTTTTGAGTCGACTCAAAAGCAGCGTGCAGCGGAGTGGTGCCTGCTTTTGAGTCGACTCAAAAGCAGCGTGCAGCGGAGTGGTGCCTGCTTTTGAGTCGACTCAAAAGCAGCGTGCAGCGGAGTGGTGCCTGCTTTTGAGTCGACTCAAAAGCAGCGTGCAGCGGAGTGGTGCCTGCTTTTGAGTCGACTCAAAAGCAGCGTGCAGCGGAGTGGTGCCTGCTTTTGAGTCGACTCAAAAGCAGCGTGCAGCGGAGTGGTGCCTGCTTTTGAGTCGACTCAAAAGCAGCGTGCAGCGGAGTGGTGCCTGCTTTTGAGTCGACTCAAAAGCAGCGTGCAGCGGAGTGGTGCCTGCTTTTGAGTCGACTCAAAAGCAGCGTGCAGCGGAGTGGTGCCTGCTTTTGAGTCGACTCAAAAGCAGCGTGCAGCGGAGTGGTGCCTGCTTTTGAGTCGACTCAAAAGCAGCGTGCAGCGGAGTGGTGCCTGCTTTTGAGTCGACTCAAAAGCAGCGTGCAGCGGAGTGGTGCCTGCTTTTGAGTCGACTCAAAAGCAGCGTGCAGCGGAGTGGTGCCTGCTTTTGAGTCGACTCAAAAGCAGCGTGCAGCGGAGTGGTGCCTGCTTTTGAGTCGACTCAAAAGCAGCGTGCAGCGGAGTGGTGCCTGCTTTTGAGTCGACTCAAAAGCAGCGTGCAGCGGAGTGGTGCCTGCTTTTGAGTCGACTCAAAAGCAGCGTGCAGCGGAGTGGTGCCTGCTTTTGAGTCGACTCAAAAGCAGCGTGCAGCGGAGTGGTGCCTGCTTTTGAGTCGACTCAAAAGCAGCGTGCAGCGGAGTGGTGCCTGCTTTTGAGTCGACTCAAAAGCAGCGTGCAGCGGAGTGGTGCCTGCTTTTGAGTCGACTCAAAAGCAGCGTGCAGCGGAGTGGTGCCTGCTTTTGAGTCGACTCAAAAGCAGCGTGCAGCGGAGTGGTGCCTGCTTTTGAGTCGACTCAAAAGCAGCGTGCAGCGGAGTGGTGCCTGCTTTTGAGTCGACTCAAAAGCAGCGTGCAGCGGAGTGGTGCCTGCTTTTGAGTCGACTCAAAAGCAGCGTGCAGCGGAGTGGTGCCTGCTTTTGAGTCGACTCAAAAGCAGCGTGCAGCGGAGTGGTGCCTGCTTTTGAGTCGACTCAAAAGCAGCGTGCAGCGGAGTGGTGCCTGCTTTTGAGTCGACTCAAAAGCAGCGTGCAGCGGAGTGGTGCCTGCTTTTGAGTCGACTCAAAAGCAGCGTGCAGCGGAGTGGTGCCTGCTTTTGAGTCGACTCAAAAGCAGCGTGCAGCGGAGTGGTGCCTGCTTTTGAGTCGACTCAAAAGCAGCGTGCAGCGGAGTGGTGCCTGCTTTTGAGTCGACTCAAAAGCAGCGTGCAGCGGAGTGGTGCCTGCTTTTGAGTCGACTCAAAAGCAGCGTGCAGCGGAGTGGTGCCTGCTTTTGAGTCGACTCAAAAGCAGCGTGCAGCGGAGTGGTGCCTGCTTTTGAGTCGACTCAAAAGCAGCGTGCAGCGGAGTGGTGCCTGCTTTTGAGTCGACTCAAAAGCAGCGTGCAGCGGAGTGGTGCCTGCTTTTGAGTCGACTCAAAAGCAGCGTGCAGCGGAGTGGTGCCTGCTTTTGAGTCGACTCAAAAGCAGCGTGCAGCGGAGTGGTGCCTGCTTTTGAGTCGACTCAAAAGCAGCGTGCAGCGGAGTGGTGCCTGCTTTTGAGTCGACTCAAAAGCAGCGTGCAGCGGAGTGGTGCCTGCTTTTGAGTCGACTCAAAAGCAGCGTGCAGCGGAGTGGTGCCTGCTTTTGAGTCGACTCAAAAGCAGCGTGCAGCGGAGTGGTGCCTGCTTTTGAGTCGACTCAAAAGCAGCGTGCAGCGGAGTGGTGCCTGCTTTTGAGTCGACTCAAAAGCAGCGTGCAGCGGAGTGGTGCCTGCTTTTGAGTCGACTCAAAAGCAGCGTGCAGCGGAGTGGTGCCTGCTTTTGAGTCGACTCAAAAGCAGCGTGCAGCGGAGTGGTGCCTGCTTTTGAGTCGACTCAAAAGCAGCGTGCAGCGGAGTGGTGCCTGCTTTTGAGTCGACTCAAAAGCAGCGTGCAGCGGAGTGGTGCCTGCTTTTGAGTCGACTCAAAAGCAGCGTGCAGCGGAGTGGTGCCTGCTTTTGAGTCGACTCAAAAGCAGCGTGCAGCGGAGTGGTGCCTGCTTTTGAGTCGACTCAAAAGCAGCGTGCAGCGGAGTGGTGCCTGCTTTTGAGTCGACTCAAAAGCAGCGTGCAGCGGAGTGGTGCCTGCTTTTGAGTCGACTCAAAAGCAGCGTGCAGCGGAGTGGTGCCTGCTTTTGAGTCGACTCAAAAGCAGCGTGCAGCGGAGTGGTGCCTGCTTTTGAGTCGACTCAAAAGCAGCGTGCAGCGGAGTGGTGCCTGCTTTTGAGTCGACTCAAAAGCAGCGTGCAGCGGAGTGGTGCCTGCTTTTGAGTCGACTCAAAAGCAGCGTGCAGCGGAGTGGTGCCTGCTTTTGAGTCGACTCAAAAGCAGCGTGCAGCGGAGTGGTGCCTGCTTTTGAGTCGACTCAAAAGCAGCGTGCAGCGGAGTGGTGCCTGCTTTTGAGTCGACTCAAAAGCAGCGTGCAGCGGAGTGGTGCCTGCTTTTGAGTCGACTCAAAAGCAGCGTGCAGCGGAGTGGTGCCTGCTTTTGAGTCGACTCAAAAGCAGCGTGCAGCGGAGTGGTGCCTGCTTTTGAGTCGACTCAAAAGCAGCGTGCAGCGGAGTGGTGCCTGCTTTTGAGTCGACTCAAAAGCAGCGTGCAGCGGAGTGGTGCCTGCTTTTGAGTCGACTCAAAAGCAGCGTGCAGCGGAGTGGTGCCTGCCGACTCATAACCATCCTTAACCCCCCCTCTCCATCCGCCAACATCCCACCCACCCTCTCACATTCCCCGCAGCTCCTACGAGCCCTCACGTGCCCGGGCACAACAGAGAGCGGCGTGGGGACGTACGAGAGTGACGAGGTGCTCGGTGACAGCTGCGTGCAGCTCGCTGCCTCCTGCCACCTGTTCGCTGCTGCTGGCTTGCCACCCCAGCAGCAGCATGACGGGCGTGGGCATGGGGATGGGGATGGGGATGGGGATGGGGATGGGGATGGGGATGAGCAGAGTAATGGGCACAACGGCTCAGCATATGCCACGAGCAATGCCTCGATGCCATCACATGTGCCGCACAGCCACCCCTCCCTGCCGACATACGATGACATGAAGGGGCAGTGCGTGAAGCTGGTGTCCAACAAGCACCTCGCAGCGCTGGCACTTAAAGCCGGTGTGCCTGCCCTCGTCCGCTGCAAGCCCTTCAGACCGTCGGATTGGATCGGCCCTCTCATCCCCCCCTCCCACGCTGTGCTGCTTCTGGCTGATTCCCTCTCTCACGCTCTCTCACCCTCCCCCTCACACCCCCCCTCACACTCCCCCTCACACTCCCCCTCACCCTCCCCCTCACACTCCCCCTCACACTTCCAGTCACAAGCAGCAGCACCTCTTTCATCCCCCTCTCAAATTACCACAGCTTCCCAGAACCTTCCTCCTAGCTCCAAAGCCCTTCTGGACTCTGCGTTCGCCTCGCTGGCAGCGGCACAGGCAGCAGCCGCCGCCAAGCCAGCACGCCAGCTGGGCAAGAAGACGCTTGCTGACGTGGCGGAGGCCCTGGTCGGCGCCAGCTGGCGGTGCGGCGGCGCTGACATGGCGCTGCCGGTGCTGAGGTGCCTGGGCATGCCTACGGATGGCGTGGGGGAGTTGCTGCTGGGGGAGATGACGTGGAGGGGGAGAGGAGTGGAGGGAATGGCTATGGGAAGGAGGGAGGGGGTGGTGGAGGGAGGAGTAGAGAGGGTGGAAGGGGGAGGAGTACCAGGAGTTGCAGCACAGCCAGATATGGCACTAGGAACGAACACAGTAGCAGCAGCTGCAAGAGATGCGAGAGCAGCAAAGGCAGCAGAAGCAGTCGCAGTAATAGTGGCGGCGGCACCAGAAGCGCAGCAAAGGGTGAGTGGCAGGAAGCACGCATTGGAGCCACCTGGAGAGCCGTCTGTGCTGCCGCTTCAGCCACCAGAGAAACGGCCCAAGCTGTTTGAAGAGGAGTGCGTGCATCAGCATCAGCATCAGCATCAGCATCAGCATCAGGACCCGCAGCTGGAGCTGCCGCAGGAGGTGCAGGGTGTGCAGGGTGTGAAGTCTCCGAAAGGCAAGTTGCAGCAGCAGCAGCAGCAGCAGCAGCAGCAGCAGCAGCAGCAGCAGCAGCAGCAGCAGCAGCAGCAGCAGCAGCAGCAGCAGCAGCAGCAGCAGCAGCAGCAGCAGCAGCAGCAGCAGCAGCAGCAGCAGCAGCAGCAGCAGCAGCAGCAGCAGCAGCAGCAGCAGCAGCAGCAGCAGCAGCAGCAGCAGCAGCAGCAGCAGCAGCAGCAGCAGCAGCAGCAGCAGCAGCAGTCTCTCTCTCCACCATCCCACAACGCACTACCGGGCCAATCCATACGCCAGCCTGGCTTCCCGGGACCTTACGTTGCCAGAACGAAATGCAAGCGCCACGTGGCAGCACATGATAGGCTGTCGGAGCTGCAGGATGCAATGGCGTACCGGTTCAGGGATGAGGGGATTCTGAGGGAGGCAGTACGGGAGGGGGAGTTGAAGTGGGAGAGACGGTTTGTGTTCCTGGGGGAAGCTGTGCTGGACTTTCTAGTCATGCACCACATGGTGCGAGCAACATTTGGGACGGCCCATTTGCCTGCTGCCACGTCAGCACATGCCACGTCATCGTATGCCACGTCATCGCATGCTGCCACGTCATCACACGCCGCCCGGCCGTCCCCGCACCAGCTGACGAACCTGCGCAAGGCGGTGATCCACTCGGAGCGGTTCTGCCAGCTGGCGGCGTGCCGTGGGCTGCTGCGATTGGTGCGCAAGATACAGCGGGTGGCAAAGGCTGCTGAAGATAGGGCTGCTGCTGACAGGGCTGCTGCTGACAGGGCTGCTGCTGACAGGGCTGCAGCTGATTCTGTTGATTCGGCTGAAAGGGCTGCGGAGGAGAGGAGTGCTGAGGAGGCTGGGAGGATGGGGGGGAGGGAAGAGGATGGGAAGAATGAAAGTGAAAATGCCAACGGTTTGAATCACATGAATCCTGTTCACTTGTATTCTGCTTCAACAAACCCCACTCCCATCCACCCTGGTCCCATGAGATCCGCCCCCATCAACACTTGCCTGAATGGCCATTCAGGAGGAAGTAGAAGAAGTCATGGCGATGGCATGGAGATTGGAGAGGAGGATGATGGGGATGATGGGGATGATGCCAATGATGGCCATGATGGAGGGCAGAAGCCGTTTCCCAAGGTAACCTTTTTTTCCACCGTCTGACCCTGTCTGTAACCATGTAATCATGTAGCTACAACCATATTACAATGTTGTATAACCACATGTAACCCTAAAATGGTTCCAGAACTGCCAGTTATACTATAATTCGCCTTACTTCACCATTTTGCTTTCCTTTCTCTACTTCCTTCCCTCTCTTTCCTTCTCCCCTCCTTGCACTCCTTCTCTTCACCCCCCCCCCCTCTCTCCCCCCCATCAGGACGTTTCTGATCTAATCAAGGCCCTCACTGCAGCAGTCTTCCTCGACTCCACTCCTCAAAACACCGCTCCCACCGCACTCAACCCCCGCGCACCTCCCCCTCTCCATCCCCCATGCCCTCTCACCCGCACGTGGCAAGTGATTTCCTCCTGGCTATGCCCTATCCCCCTGCTGCATCCTCTCTCCCTCCACCCCCCCTCCGCCCTGCTCCTCTTCTGCTGTGCCCTCGCCCTCCCCGCCCCCATCTACCTGCCCAGGGCGCAGGGGGGTGGGGGAGAGGGGGAGCAATGGGGGGAGCAGTGGGGGGAGGAGTGGGGGAAGGAGTGCGGGGGAGAGTGGGGAAAAGGGGGGGAAGGGGAAGGGGAAGGGGATGGGTCGTGGAAGGACAAGGAAGGTGGCGGAAGGGACGGGGGGATGGTGTGTGGAAGCGACGTGGAAGGTGGAGGAGGGGAGGCTGGGGAGGAGGGAGTGGAAAATGGACCTTGTGAGAAGGGCGTGGGGGTTAGAGGAGGAGGAGGAGGAGAGAGAGAGGAGGGGGTGGTGATGGAAGTGGAGGTGAGAGGGGTGGTGGTGGGAGAGGGGTGGGGGATGGATGATGTAGCAGCAACGGTGGAAGCAGCTTCTGGCGTGCTGGGGAGGGCCAAGGTGAGGGTAATTATGTGAATGTAATGGTGTGAATGTTAAGGAAATGTTATGCAGTGTTATGCAGCTTCTCACAAATACCTCTGGGATATGAAGAGGTGAGTGTGAAGAGGTCAAGGCTGGCATTTGCGGGGATTGCTGGCGGGGGGGGGGGGGGGGGGGGGGGGGGGGGGGGGGGGGTATGGATGACTTGGCAGGTACTGTGGGAGCAGCAGGTGTAAAAGGCGAGCGGTCCCACAGCAGGCAATAAAAGGCGAGCGGTCAGACTGTTGGGGTGCTAAACACACACACACGCACACACACATAAACATACACACACACACGCACACACACACACACGCACACACACACACACACACACACACCCACACACACACAGAAGAAGCTGTTGGGGTGCCAGTAGGCTTTCAAAATATAGCTGGTTCTTACATGAATCCTTTCCCGTTCCTTCTCTCCCTCTCACCTCACCCCAGACTGTGCAGGGCTTCATGCGGTTGTATCAGGAGGCCGAGGGGGCGCGCTTGCTGGGGGCTATGAGGGCCGCATGGGAGGGGCAGACGGAGGAAGGAGAGGAGGGAGGGGAGGGGAAGGAGGCAGGAGGAGAAGGCACTGCAGGGATGGGCGGGGTTGTGCCTGAGGGTGGTTGTCAGAAGGGAGGAATGAGTGATTGTGATGGTGGGCAGCAGAAGGCAGGAGGGAAGAAGAGGAAGCGAGGGAAGTCTGGAAAAGGGGTGGCAGTAGAAGCAGCAGTAGCAGCCGGGGACACACCGGCACTAGCAGGAAGGGAGAGTACGATTGGTTCGGCTGCTTCAGGCGCCCTGGCTGGGCCCCGTGGCTGCGAGCCAGGTCCGGCGGCTATATCTGCCCTGAATCACACGTGCATGGCGCGGCGATGGACGGCAGTGTACAGTGAGAGAATCATATCTTGTACTTCCAACGCCGAGCCTGTGCCGGGTAGTAATGGTTCGGCACAATGTGGGGCCACTGCTGGGAGCGCCTCTGCTGCTGCTGCTGTTGCTGGGGACGTGTCATTGGATGGTGGATCCACGAATGGTGGTGTGATCAACGGTGGTGATTCGATCAGAGGGGGTTCTGCCACTGGTGCAAGTGGTGGTGGGGATGCAGCAAGTGGTGCCAGCTGTCAACCTGGTGGTGGGAACACAGGAGCTCCCAGGTATGTAACTTCTCATGCCTTAGCCGTCTTGTAGTAGTTTCACAAATTGTTTTACAGTCCAATGACGGAATTTCCTTATCCTTGTTGTCTCTTGCAATTTTTATTTTGACATTGCAGCTTTTGCATGGATTGTGTGGTTAAAGCGAGTGACGGCTCAACAGTGGTTCATGTCGAAGGTAGATCAATGGCCTCTAAAAAGACAGCAAAGCAATGGACAGCAGCAGCCGTGTTACAAGCACTAGCCTCCAGAGAGTGGCCTGCTAGTGCCAATATGCCTTTGTAGGCTTCAGTTCATGGTGGTGATGGTAAGGGTAATGGTAATGGAATAGGAATGGTGTAAGGTGGGCAATATGACTTCAAATGATGAATAAAATCGGTGCGCGGTTGAAATCAAATTTCGTACACAGCTGGGACCTGCAGGAGCGAGTATGTCAGGATTTTGCATTTTCCCGCCAATTCTTCCGTTTCGAATGGAGGCTCCGTTCCGGTCCTTTTCTGTTCCTAGTGTCAGGCATGTCTCATTGTTGCACTAGTACGTCAACATGCGCCTGTTGGAGTAAACTGCGCTACTATCGTGATTCAAAATGTGCATTCCGGCTCGAGGGCTCAAAACGTTATAACAAAGCTCACATATTCGTAAACACGCCTTACACCAACCTCAGAGTTGCAATTGTTTCGAGCGTGGTGTCTGTTTGCTGGTCGGGAGCATGCTGTCAATTTCGTGCTTCCATGCACATCGCCATACCTTCACCTCACCAGACACACAAGCTTGCGTTTACGCATTTCGCAAGGACTTTCTGCTCGCGCCAGGTATGGTCTCCGAGCTTATCTCCAGTAAACGCTTAATCACGGGGCTTAGTTGCGGTAGGCTCAATCCTAGTCGCGCCGGACCGTCTAGCACTAACGGCTGCGTAACGGTGTTCCGTGAAGGCCTGACGACATTAGAACGTCCTGATGAAGAGCATTCTAGGCGAATTTGGCGAAATTGTACTTCGCAAACAGACTTGCTGGTGTCGCAGCAGTATCATGTGGTTTCCACTTGCAGGTCTGGTTCGACCGCGTTGAGACTTTCGCAAGCCAGGCGAAACTGGAAAACGCTTTCCATGAATCGGGTAAAGGGCCACCTTATAACGAGCCAATTTAGTGTCTTTAATTCAGGAATGCAGCCGCTGGCGGGGTCTCTTAGGATTGAAACTGTAAATATTCTCCCTGGAAGTTGCCAGCAGGCTTCTCGGTCTTATATCGGATCCCGTTTCACGGGGACAGCCAGGGCTGGGGTTGAGACAACGAGGACTGGGGGTGTTTCTAGTTTCGGATCACCGGGAAGACCAACATTGGGATTGTCTGGCCCTTTCACGGGGACGACAAACGGGAAAGATGCGATAAGACATGCGCCGTTACACTCCGCGAGGCTACGAGCCGCCAGTTCATTCGATGATCGTTCGGGTATCGAACCGTCCCTTAAAGAGGACGGAGAGGTAGGACCAACGACGGAACCTGGTCCGCGGAGTGGCGAGAAGCAGCAGCAGCACCACCACCAACCCCACCAACAGCAGCAGCAGCACCCCCACCAACACCCCCTCCTGGGCCTTCTCCCGTTCCTGCGCCCCTTCCTCCCCCTCGTCCTCCGCGCGTGGCTGTGTACCGCCGTCGCCCTCACCTCGCTGCTCCTCTTCATCCCCCGCTTCGGCGCGCTCACCACCCTCCTTGCCCAAGGTAATCTACTAGGGTGACTTACCCTGGCAATTTCCACCAAGGTGATATAGCCAGGTGACGTACGCAGGTGATTTTCCTAAGTGATTTACCTGGCTGACGTACCAGGTGAATTTCCAAAGTGACTTTTGGGGCGTCTCAAGAAGCGTGGCCGTGTACCGCCATCGCCCTCACCTCGCTGCTCCTCGTCATCCCCCGCTTCGGCGCGCTCACCATCCTCCTCGCCCAAGGTGAATTCCCAAGATGACCCAATGTATTTTCCAATGTGGGACAGGCTGGTCTGGGGCAGGCTATTCTGAGGCAAACTATGTTTTCTCTTTCCCCCCCACTCCCCTCCCCATCCCTCCCCCCTCTCGCACCCACCCTCGCCTCCCCCCTACACCGCCTCCCTCCCCCCCCCCCCCCTCCCCCACCAGGCGACCTCCGCGCGCTTACGCGTGCGACAGGTGTGGTGCTGGCACTCGTAGCAGCGCGGTCAGCAGCGACGTACTAAGGTGACTTATGAGTCGACTCAAAAGTCACGACGTACTGGCAGGACGCGTGGCTGCGGGAGGCAGCGAGCGGCGTCACTCTGGCTGTGGGGAGTGAGGCATTGGTATTCATAATCTCGGGCTTTAATTCCCCCACCTTCCACCACCTCCCTCCCCCCTCCCCCTTTCCCCTACCTTCCCTTTCCCCTCAATTTTCGCCCCATCCCCTCCCTTGCCCCCCTTGCAGGAGATCTCCGCGCCCTCACCCGTGCGACAGGTGTGGTGCTGGCACTCGTAGCAGCGCGGTCGGCAGCGACGTACTGGCAGGACGCGTAGCTGTGGGAGGCAGCGAGCAGCGTCACTCTGGCTGTGCGCTCCCAGGCATTGGGAATTGCAATCTCGGGCTTTAATTCCCCCCCTCCAACCTCCTCCCCCATCCCCTCATCCCCCTTTTTCCTACCTTCTCTCATCCTCCCCACGCCCCCCCCCCCCCCCCCCCCCCCCCCCCCTGTCCCCACCCCCATCAGGTGATCTCCGGGCGCTCACACGCGCAACAGGTGTGGTGCTGCTATTGGTGGGAGTGCGGTCGGCAGCGACGTACTGGCAGGACGCGTGGCTGTGGGAGGCAGCGAGCGGCGTCACTCTCTCCGTGCGCTCCCAGGCATGGCACCACCTGCTGGGGGCTGATCTGGGGTTCTTTGAAGGGCGAGGGGGAGGAGGTGGAGGGCGGGGTGGAGGAGAACGGAGAAAAGGGCGGGGAGGAGAGGAGGCAGGAGGAGGAGCAGGTGGGAAGGAAAGAGGTAGAGTGGAAAGAGAAGGGGTCGAAGGGGCAGAAATAGGAGCAATGGGAGAGGCAGCAGCTGTAGCAGGGAATTCTCTAGCAACAGCACCATCCGCTGTAGCAGCAGGGTCGGCGGCTGTAGCAACGGGGGACCTGGTGTATCGGTTGACAGCGGAGGCAAGGGAGGTGGGCGAGGTGGGAGGGGGAGGGGAAGACATTGTACTAGGGGATGCAGCAGACGGGGCAGCTGTAGCAGCAGTACCTGCAGCTGTAGCAACGGGGGACCTGGTGTATCGGTTGACAGCGGAGGCAAGGGAGGTGGGCGAGGTGGGAGGGGGAGGGGAAGACATTGTACTAGGGGATGCAGCAGACGGGGCAGCTGTAGCAGCAGTACCTGCAGCTGTAGCAATGGGGGACCTGGTGTATCGGTTGACAGCGGAGGCAAGGGAGGTGGGCGAGGTGGTGTTTGCTGTGCTCAAGGCCGCGGTGCCAGCTGTCTGCCAGGTGGCAGTCATGCTGACGCGGATGGTCCAGCTCAGCCCGGTGATGACGCTGGCGACTCTCTGCGTGAGTGGGAGACACGTGGACTGGTGGTAACAGCAGTGACAGTAACGTTTGGTGACGTGGACCAGTGGTAACAGTAGTGGCTGTAGGTTTTGGTGATGTGGACCAGTGGTAGAAGTAGCATTGGTAGTAGCAGTGGCAACAGCAGCAGTAGCACTTTTGAGAGGTATGAAAAGTTACTCTCAAACAGCAGTGGCCATACTCTTCCTTCTTCCTCCCTCTCTTCCCTCCCACCAACCTCACCCCAGGTGGTACCCCTCACCCCAGGTGGTACCCTCACCCCAGGTGGTACCCCTCACCCCAGGTGGTACCCCTCACCCCAGGTGGTACCCCTCACCCCAGGTGGTACCCCTCACCCCAGGTGGTACCCCTCACCCCAGGTGGTACCCCTCACCCCAGGTGGTACCCCTCACCCCAGGTGGTACCCCTCACCCCAGGTGGTACCCCTCACCCCAGGTGGTACCCCTCACCCCAGGTGGTACCCCTCACCCCAGGTGGTACCCCTCACCCCAGGTGGTACCCCTCACCCCAGGTGGTACCCCTCACCCCAGGTGGTACCCCTCACCCCAGGTGGTACCCCTCACCCCAGGTGGTACCCCTCACCCCAGGTGGTACCCCTCACCCCAGGTGGTACCCCTCACCCCAGGTGGTACCCCTCACCCCAGGTGGTACCCCTCACCCCAGGTGGTACCCCTCACCCCAGGTGGTACCCCTCACCCCAGGTGGTACCCCTCACCCCAGGTGGTACCCCTCACCCCAGGTGGTACCCCTCACCCCAGGTGGTACCCCTCACCCCAGGTGGTACCCCTCACCCCAGGTGGTACCCCTCACCCCAGGTGGTACCCCTCACCCCAGGTGGTACCCCTCACCCCAGGTGGTACCCCTCACCCCAGGTGGTACCCCTCACCCCAGGTGGTACCCCTCACCCCAGGTGGTACCCCTCACCCCAGGTGGTACCCCTCACCCCAGGTGGTACCCCTCACCCCAGGTGGTACCCCTCACCCCAGGTGGTACCCCTCACCCCAGGTGGTACCCCTCACCCCAGGTGGTACCCCTCACCCCAGGTGGTACCCCTCACCCCAGGTGGTACCCCTCACCCCAGGTGGTACCCCTCACCCCAGGTGGTACCCCTCACCCCAGGTGGTACCCCTCACCCCAGGTGGTACCCCTCACCCCAGGTGGTACCCCTCACCCCAGGTGGTACCCCTCACCCCAGGTGGTACCCCTCACCCCAGGTGGTACCCCTCACCCCAGGTGGTACCCCTCACCCCAGGTGGTACCCCTCACCCCAGGTGGTACCCCTCACCCCAGGTGGTACCCCTCACCCCAGGTGGTACCCCTCACCCCAGGTGGTACCCCTCACCCCAGGTGGTACCCCTCACCCCAGGTGGTACCCCTCACCCCAGGTGGTACCCTCACCCCAGGTGGTACCCCTCACCCCAGGTGGTACCCCTCACCCCAGGTGGTACCCCTCACCCCAGGTGGTACCCCTCACCCCAGGTGGTACCCCTCACCCCAGGTGGTACCCCTCACCCCAGGTGGTACCCCTCACCCCAGGTGGTACCCCTCACCCCAGGTGGTACCCCTCACCCCAGGTGGTACCCCTCACCCCAGGTGGTACCCCTCACCCCAGGTGGTACCCCTCACCCCAGGTGGTACCCCTCACCCCAGGTGGTACCCCTCACCCCAGGTGGTACCCCTCACCCCAGGTGGTACCCCTCACCCCAGGTGGTACCCCTCACCCCAGGTGGTACCCCTCACCCCAGGTGGTACCCCTCACCCCAGGTGGTACCCCTCACCCCAGGTGGTACCCCTCACCCCAGGTGGTACCCCTCACCCCAGGTGGTACCCCTCACCCCAGGTGGTACCCCTCACCCCAGGTGGTACCCCTCACCCCAGGTGGTACCCCTCACCCCAGGTGGTACCCCTCACCCCAGGTGGTACCCCTCACCCCAGGTGGTACCCCTCACCCCAGGTGGTACCCCTCACCCCAGGTGGTACCCCTCACCCCAGGTGGTACCCCTCACCCCAGGTGGTACCCCTCACCCCAGGTGGTACCCCTCACCCCAGGTGGTACCCCTCACCCCAGGTGGTACCCCTCACCCCAGGTGGTACCCCTCACCCCAGGTGGTACCCCTCACCCCAGGTGGTACCCCTCACCCCAGGTGGTACCCCTCACCCCAGGTGGTACCCCTCACCCCAGGTGGTACCCCTCACCCCAGGTGGTACCCCTCACCCCAGGTGGTACCCCTCACCCCAGGTGGTACCCCTCACCCCAGGTGGTACCCCTCACCCCAGGTGGTACCCCTCACCCCAGGTGGTACCCCTCACCCCAGGTGGTACCCCTCACCCCAGGTGGTACCCCTCACCCCAGGTGGTACCCCTCACCCCAGGTGGTACCCCTCACCCCAGGTGGTACCCCTCACCCCAGGTGGTACCCCTCACCCCAGGTGGTACCCCTCACCCCAGGTGGTACCCCTCACCCCAGGTGGTACCCCTCACCCCAGGTGGTACCCCTCACCCCAGGTGGTACCCCTCACCCTCATGTCAGTCATCATCGCATGTCCCCCCACTCTTCCACTCCACCCCAGGTGGTACGCCTCATGTCAGTCATCATGGCTACGCTCGGGGAGAGGGTTCATCGCGTCTCTTCAAAAGCCCAGGCGTCCATCGCAGCCCTCTCAGCGCGGATCACCGAGGTCCTCCCTTCTTGTGTGACCCTCCCACTCCACCCCAGGTGGTACCACTCATGTCAGTCATCAGTGCTACGCTCGGAGAGAGGGTTCGCCGCGTCTCCTCAGAAGCGCCGGACTCTGTGGCAGCCCTCTCAGTGCGAGTCACCGAGGTCCTCCCAGCCATGCTGCTCGTCCCTGTGACCTTAGCTGACCCCCCTGCCCCCCCCCTCTTCCCCCTGTCGCCTCTCTCCCCCATCTCCACTCCTCTCTCCCCCATCTCCACTCCTCTCTCCCCCATCTCCACTCCTCTACCAGGTGGTACCACTCATGTCTGTCATCATCGCCTCGCTCGGTGAAAGAGTTCGCCGCGTCTCCTCAGAAGCTCAGGCCTCAATCGCAGCCCTCTCAGCGCGGATCACCGAGGTGCTCCCAGCCATGCTGCTCGTCAAGGCACACGCAGCCGAGCCCTACGAGGCGCTCCTGTTCCGCCACCTGGCGGAAGCTGATAGGTCCGCACGGCTGCGCAAGAAGCGGCTCAAGGCGCTGTTTCCAGAGGCGATCACGGCGGCGTATGCGGCGGCGGTGGTGGTGCTGTTCGGAGTGGCCACGGCCGTGGGGCAGGGCGGGTTAACAGGTGCCGGGATCGTGTCGTTCTTCACCTCGCTTGTGCTCCTCATCGAGCCCATTCAGGTAAGCGGTTGAACGTACAGCGGCGTATGCGGCAGCGGTGGTGGTGCTGTTTTTAATGGAATGGCCACGTGGGCCGTCCGTGGGGCAGGGCGGGCTAACGGAAGAAGAGGCTTTCGCCGGCGCTGTTTCCGGAGGCGATTACGGGGGCGTATGTGGCAGCAGTGGTGGTGCTGTTTTGAAGTGGCCACGTGGGCTGTTGGGCAGGGCGGGGTGTCAGTGGCGCTGGGATTGCCACCTTCTTCACCTCGCTTCTTCTGCTCCTCGAACCCATTCAGGGCTAATTGGCCAGCCAACCATTGAAGAAGTGCTGACTCGCACAAGCCCACCCCGCTCCACTCCCTCTCAATCAAAGTCAACCCCGCTCCACTCCCTCTCACCACCCTGTCTGTTCTCTCTCTCCTGTCTGCCAGGCAGCAGGCACGGCGTTCAACAAGCTGAAGCAGGGCCAGCCAGCCATCCAACGAGTGTTGTCTCACTTGATCAAAGCTACCACATTCCACTCCCTCGCACCACTCTGTCTTCTTTCTTTCTTTTCCTCCCCCAGGCAGCAGGCACAGCGTTTAACGAGCTGAAGCAGGGCCAGCCAGCCATTGAACGAGTGCTTGCACTCACACGCTTGAATGCACCGCACTCCACCTCTTCCCACTCCTCCTCCTCCTCCTCCTCCTCCTCCTCCTCCTCCTCCTCCTCCTCCTCCTCCTCCTCCTCCTCCTCCTCCTCCTCCTCCTCCTCCTCCTCCTCCTCCTCCTCCTCCTCCTCCTCCTCCTCCTCCTCCTCCCTCTCCCTTCAAGCAGAGGAGGGTGAGCACATTGGGAGGCTGGAGGGAAGCATTGAGTTCCAAGGGGTGTGTTTTGACTATGGCATGCCCACGGTAACCATGCCTCATATAGAAGTACCACTGGCAGGAGAAAACGCAGTGGCAGCAGCCTCAGCCGCAGAAGGAGGATCAGGATCAGGTTCCCACGTGTTGTCAGACGTGACGTTTCGGGTGGGGCGGGGTGAGACGGTGGCTGTGGTGGGGCCGTCAGGGGGAGGCAAGAGCTCCCTGCTCAAGCTGCTGCTCAAGCTCTACCGCCCCTCTGCAGGTAAGGGGCTGCGGGGTGAAGTAAGGTGCGGTGAGGTGAGGTGAGGTGAGGTGAGGTGAGGTGAGGTGAGGTACGGTGAGGTCAGGTCACATGCTGAAGGATGGTGAGTTGAACGGAGGTGCGATCCAAGTCAGGCCGTGTTGGGTTGGTTGGGTTCGAGTCTGGTCGGGTCGGGTCGGGTCAGGTGAGTTCGGGTAGGGACGGGTCCGGTCGGGTTGGGTTGGGTTGGGTTGGGTTGAGTTGGGGAGGGGTTGGGTTGGGTTGGGTTTGGCAGGCCTGTGCTGTGCTGGCTCCGTCTAGGTCCTTTAAAAACAAATCTTATTATATCTAATGTTTCCGCCCCTTATTTAGAATTCGAGGAGATTAGTAAATCATCCCTCTTGATTCTGCTTGCGTTGTGTGCACCTGTGTGGGCAGGCCGCATTCTGCTGGACGGCCGAGATCTTGCGGCATGCTCTGCATCCAGCGTGCGCCGTCAGATCGGCTTTGTGCCACAGGAAACGGTGGGTGTAGGTGTGGTGGTGGTTGGGAGTGATGGTGTGAGGTGAAGGGAACGGAGACCGAAGGTCAAGAGAGCTTTGAGACGTCTCAAAACTCAACTTTCTATCATGTAGGTGTGGTGGTGGTTAGGAGTGATGGTGTGAGTGGAAGGGGGCGAAGGTAAAGAGAGCTTTTGGATGCGTTTTGAAACATATGCTCCTGCTCTCCATTGCTCCTCTCCCCTCACCCACACCTCCATCGTGCCCTCTCTCCCCTTTCCTCTCTCCTCTCTCCTCTCTCCCCTCTCCCCTCCCCCCCCTCATCTACCCTCTCTCCTCGTTCCTCCCTCCTCTTTCCTCTCTCACCGCCCCTCCCTTCTATCTACTTTTTCTTCTCCTCACCTCTCTTTTCACCCTCATGCTTCCTCTTTGACTCATCTCAGGTTCTTTTTTCGGGCACGGTGGCGCAAAACATCGCATACGGGCATCTGGAATATCTCTCCTTGGAATCTTTCAACCTGCCCAGAAAGCCAACAAATTTGGCCATGGTGGAGCGAGCTGCCCGCCTCGCCAACGCACACGATTTTATTTCTGCCCTGCCCGAAGGCTACTTCACCCAGCTGGGGCCTAGAGGGGCGTCTCTCAGTGGCGGGCAGAGGCAGAGGTACGAAACAAAAGTTTTGCTGCTCCAAAACGTCACTTGTTGGGACACTTTGAAAAGTTTTCCTTCTGTTGGCTTCGATTCCTCGTGTTTTTTCTGAAATACTTGAGGCGCCTCAACATGTGTTTCCATGTGTTTATTTTCGATCTCAAGTTAGCAAAAAACCAGTTGTGAGTTTTCCATGCTCGAACCTCACACGAAGCCTGTGACCGAACCTAGTGCCGAACCTCACACTGTTTCAATACCATTCCTGCCAGGCTGGCCATCGCCCGAGCCATCTTCAACAACCCTGCCATCCTGGTGCTGGATGAAGCCACGTCAGCACTGGACAGCCAATCAGAGGCTCTCGTTCGCGACGCGCTGAGCCGCCTCATGGTTGGCCGAACGGTGGGTGTGCTGTGTGGTGTGTGGGGGGGCGGAGGGGAGATGTGGAGTGGGGAGGGGAGGGGGGGGAGGCAGTTTGGGGGAATGGGAGGGGAGGAGAGGGAGGGGAGTGGAGGGGAGGGAGGGGGAGGGAAGGGGAATGGAGTTGATAAGAGAGGAGAGGATGGGTGGGACGAGACGAGATTATGTGTTGGAGAGCAAAGGAAGGGTGGCTGGGAATCAACAGGCATGGGGTGGAAAGGGCAGGTTAATGACTTGGCAAAAGTTGGGGGAAATCACATCACAAACGCATCTCCCTGTGCTCTCATGTGAGCCCGACTGTGTTGAGGTGACGATTGAATCGACTCAAAAGTCATCTCACATCACAAGCGCATCTCCCTGTGCTCTCATGTGAGCCCGACTGTGTTGAGGTGACTTTTGAGTCGACTCAAAAGTCATCTCACATCACAAACGCATCTCCCTGTGCTCTCATGTGAGCCCGGCTGTGTTCCCTCCATTGTTAATTAGGCCAACTCCCAATCTCCCCTCCCCATTATTCTCCCTCTTTCGCCCCCTCATCAGATATTCTGGTGGCACACAGGCCGGCAGCGATTGCCGATGCTGACGGGGCGCTGCTGGCGGAGAATGGACGAGTGCGGGAATTCAGATGACCCTCATTGCCGACGCTGACCGAGTGCTGCTGATGGCCCTCATTCTCTCCCCCCACCCCCTCCATCTCCCCCCGTTCTCCCCCTCGTTCTCCCCCTCGTTCTTCCCATTCATTCGTCCCTCATCAGGTGATTCTGGTGGCGCACAGGCCTGCAGCCATTGCCGATGCTGACCGGGTTCTGCTGGTGGAGAATGGACGAGTGAGGGAAATCACAAAAAGTACCCGCATGGGTTTCCCTGAAGAATTGTACCCACAAGGAGGATTGGTTGCACTAGGCGGTACACTCTCTGATGGAGTAGGTTTAGCCGTAGTGGGTCAATCGGATGAATTTTGTGGTTCGCTGAATGATTCTTGTGGTGAGCATGGGGCATTAGCACTGGCGATGCTTGGAGATGAAGAAGCCTCACTTGAGCCCCTGCTGGGCAACCTTTAGGAGCACTCGAATGAAAATTGGGTTTTTGTATGATTTATCTTTTTAAGTGTAATGGTCCTTATGGTCTATATATATAATAAGCAATTGTTTCCATGAAAAGCATATTTAACCCTATACTGATTCTGTTGTGTTAGAGGATTACTGCCCCCCTTTCACTTGTCGGAGTAAGGTATGTTGCAAGCAAGCTATACATGGATTTGTTTGTGACTCTCAGTTCTAGGGTGTGCTTCAATGGTGTTAGCGAAGACCTGTCAATCGAATTTTATGGTTTCGTGGTGGGGAAAATATGTCAATGGTAACTTATATGGGGCACTATAACGCGTACGGTAACAATTACATGTTGTTTTAACGCGTTTGGTAACTCGCTTAAAGCTGCGGTCTACATACTAAAAGGGATTTTCTGGGGGTAGTCTTAGAGCACACCCTTTGGCGCAAGATGATTCGAGAGCGAAGTGAGCTTCTTCCCCAAACACCTCTGCGAGAAATTCAAACACTGATGGCGATGACAAACAATTTCGTGAGCTCGTTTGCTTGGGGGAAGTAATCCGCGGAAATGCGGAAGACCCTGCGCCCAACACAAATAACCAAGGGAAATGGAAACCGTATCATGCAATCTGTGCCATACCGCTCTAGGCTGCGATTCCCGCTAGCAGCAGGCAGCGCAGCAGCATGCTCCACGCCACCGCGTCAGTTGCCGCGAAATTCGCCTGGAGTGCATAGTGTAGTGTTTGTTTCACGCAGCCACGCTAATAGCCGCGATTCCTGCTAGCAGCGTGTAGCGTAACGTATGTTTCACGCCACCCCGCTCACAGGCGTGATTCTGGCCAGGTGCGCGTAGCATATCGCCTTCTTCACGCCACTACGCTAAGCCGCGAATCCCGCTCGCGGCGTCTGTTTCGCGTCACCACGCAAAGAGCCGCGATTCCCGCTTGTAGCGTCACCCGTAGCGTTTCACGCCACCCCACTCATAGTCGCGATTCTCGCCATGTGCGCGCGGCGTATCGCCTTTTCCACGCCACCACACTCGCAGCCGCGATCCCTGCTAGGAAAGTACAGGGTAGCGGTCATTCCTGTGGCAAACCCGTAGTCAAGGGACGGAACCACGTCACCGTTTTCTCTGCCGCGTTGTTAGTTATTCGTTATAGCACATCCGAAAGCCATATGTGGGCATCCTCCCAAGGCAGCCATATGGGAGGCAGAGTGAGCATAGGATGCCCAGCGCCGCGTCATCGCCTGCTTGTCGCGTCGCGTTTGTCACAGCGTCCTCGCCACCTTAGGTCGCGTGTCCCTTTCCCCCCAGGTCGCACCTCCGTTTCCCCCCAGGTCAGGTCGCACCTCCGTTTCCCCCCAGGTCGCACCTCCGTTTCCCCCCAGGTCGCACGTCCGTTTCCCCCCAGGTCGCACCTCCCTTTCCCCCCAGGTCAGGTCGCTCCTCCGTTTCCCCCCAGCTCGCGCCTCAGTTTCCCCCCAGGTCGCACCTCCGTTTCCCCCCAGGTCGCACCTCCCTTTCCCCCCAGGTCGCACCTCCGTTTCCCCCCAGGTCGCACCTCCCTTTCCCCCCAGCTCGCACCTCCGTATCCCCCCAGCTCGCACCCCCCATCCTCTGCCCTTCCTTTCCCCCTCCTTCCCCCCTCTTTCCCACTCCTTTCCCCCTGCTGTGGAGCTGCCTTCCTTTTGCCATGCCATTGCCCTGCCGCTCTCCTCTCGACCTTGAAATCGGGGAGCACGACGGTCAAGTGCGCTATTACGAGGCCAGCAGAGCGCGGCGGTGTGTTTGACTACGCAAGTGACTAGCGGCCGATGCGGTCACGGTTGGTAAAACATACTGATGAAGCTAGGCGGAGCATGTTTCTGTTAGCGACTATTGCCTCTGCTTAGAGTCACTCCCTGTGAGGTGAAGCTGGGCTGTGTCAAACATTGCATGTTTATATTGTCTAGGCTGTAGTGGGTTACACCTTAGGGGGTACACAAAGTTAGGGTTTCCTACTTGTACCAAACTCTGTGCTAGTTCATTCATTCCTGCTCAGTTATTTCTGACATGGTTTCAGAGCAGGTCCTTCGCTAGGACTGTTCTTAGGGCCCACCGACTTACCTACCTGCTTACCTTCGCTTGTTTCCGGCCCCGCTGGCCCCGTCGATCTAGCACGATCTAGCGGCCCTGCGGCCCCGTCGAAATTTTTTTTTTTTTTTTAGCGGCCTCTCACGGCCCCCGTCGCGTCGCCCCTTAGCGCCCCGATCGGCCCCGTCACGCCGCCCGCGAACCGCACAGCGCGCCGCGCTCACAGCCCGCGAACCGCCCGCGCACAGCCCGCGACCCGCCTGCGCAGCCCGCGACCAGCCCGCGCAGCCCGCGCACAGCCCGCGAACTGCCCGCGAGCAGCCCGCGACCTGCCCGCGAACCCCCGCGAGCCGCCCGCGACCCGCTTACGCAGCCCGCGAGCAGCCCGCACAGCCCGCGCTGAGCCTGCGCGGCTCGTGCGCTGACCGCCGCCGGCCCGCACGCTGCCCGCACTGCTCCCGGCCCGCCGCTGCTGAGCCCGCAGCCGCCCGCGCACCGCCGCTGCTGAACCCGCCGCCGCCCGCGCACCGCCGCTGCTGAGCCCGCCGCCGCCCGCGCACCGCCGCTGCTGCGCCCGCTGCCGCCTGCGTATCACCGCTGCTGAGCCCGCCCCTGCTGCGCCGGCTCTCGCTGCCGCCTGCTGCGCCTGTGCACCACTGCAGATCCTACTACTACACTTCCTACTACTGCTGCTTGTGCGCCACTACAGTCCGTAGGCCCCACCGGCCCTGCTGACCCTGCGCACGCCTGTTCAGTGACTTTACTGCTTCTACTACTGCCGCTGTCGCTATGGCTAGTCCTCCTGTTCTAGCTTTCGACGCCGAGGGCCGTCCGGTCAAATTCGAAACCTGGCTAGATGACCTGCACCTTTTCCTACAGCTCACTGCCAAGGAAGATATTACACTGTACGACCACGCTCTCGGCCATGCGACCGCCCCACTCGCTACTGCCCCCCCAGCTGAGCGCTCACAGTGGCAGACCCGTGACGCGCACGCTCGCTTTGCTATTCGCAACTCCCTGCCGCTAGATGAGCGCGAGCACTTCGGCCAGTGCAAGACTGCTAAGGACCTCTACACAGCTGTAGTGGCCCGCTACTCCTCACCCGCTTCTGCCACACTAGGCCGCCTCACTCTCCCCTACCTGTTCCCCGACCTAGCCTCTTTTCACACTGTCGCAGACCTCATCACCCACCTTAAGACTAGTGAGGCTCGCTTTCGCGCTGCCATGCCTGATGAGTTCCTCGCTAGCAACCCCCCCCCGCTCTGGATCACTCTCTACCACGTTGTCACCCGCCTCCCTGACTCTCTGCGCCCTGTCAGGGACCAGTTCCTCTCTCGCTCCCCCACTGAGCTCACCATAGCCCTCCTCGAGAAGGAACTGCTTGCAGCCGAGGCTAGTATCGTCGCTGTAGGCACCTCTCGTGGCGACCCCCGCGGCCCCTTCTTCGAGGGGTGCTCCCCTTCCCCCCTCCTCCCCTCTGTCGCCTCTGCTGCTGCTGTCGACCTCCTTGGTGCTGAGAAGGTCGGGGCTGCGTCTGCTTCAGGCGGACGACGCAGGGGCAGGAGTGGCAGGAGTGGGGGTGGTGGCGGAGGAGGCGGGGGTGGAGGTGGTGGCGGTGGAGGTGCGACTGGAGAGGCTAGTGGCGGCGGTGGTGGAGGTGACAGCGGTGTTGGGAGTGGTGACAGGGGCGGAGGTGGCAGCGGAGGCGGAGGTGGTCGTGGCAGCGGCAGGGGTGGAGGTGGCCGGGGCGGAGGCGGAGGGGGTGGTGGTCGTGGAGGCCCGGGGGGCGGTCAGAGTCAGCAGCCTGCCCCGACCCTTCAGGCCGCCCGTGAGTGGTATGCGCGGCGCAGCGTCACCTGTCAGTACGTTATTCGTACAGGTGACCGCACTGGCCAGACGTGTGGGGGGCCGCACCAGACGGAGCGCTGCTTCGCCCGCCTCAACGATGCGTGGCGCACTCAGTTTCCTGGTGGGGGTGAGCTGCCGCGCTGGGCTGATCTGCTCAGGAAGGGTGTTGATATTTGGGCACTTGACTTTGATGCTATTCTCACTGCCATGTATGCGATGTCTATTAGTGGAGAGGGTGCTCAGTACTTGCGTGTTCCGCCCGACCCGGGCATTCAGGCCAGCCCCGCTGCTGCTCTAGGTGCTAGTGTGTCTGCTTCCGCAGGTACTTCTGCAGCTGCTGCTCTAGGTGCTTGTGCGTCTGTGCCCCCTGGTACTGAGTCGACTGCAGCACTGCACACCTTCACACTGGACTCAGGTGCTTCTCGCTCTTTCTTTCGTGACCGCACTGTCCTTGAGCCTCTAGCTCGGCCGGTTGCTGTCTCTCTTGCTGACCCCTCTGGGGGTCCGGTCCTTGCGACCTCCTCCACCACCCTTCCGTGTCCAGCGGTTCCGTCCGGCACGCTCTCAGGTCTCTACCTCCCCTCGTTCTCCACGAACTTGGTGGCAGGTAGTGCGCTCCAGGACTCGGGTGTTCACCAGTTCACCCCTGCCTACGAGCGTGTGACTCACTGCACGTGTGCTCGGACGGGCCGCCACCTAGCTACTTTCACTCGAGAGCCGGGGTCTGACCTGTACACACTGACCACTGAGTCCCCTCAGGTAGCTGCGTCTGCGTCAGCGTCAGGTCAGCTGTCCGCCCCCTGCTCGTGTCGCTCTCTGGCGAACGACACCGTCCTCTGGCACCACCGCCTTGGTCACCCGTCTGTGCAGCGCCTGCGGGCCATGCACAAACGGGACCTTGTTGCTGGTCTTCCCAGGGTGCTCCCTCCCCTTCCTGACTCCCCTGCTCCTGACTGCATTCCCTGTGTCGAGGGGCGGCAGCGCGCCACTCCTCACTCCTCCTCCTTTCCCCCGACGACCGCTCCCCTGCAGACGCTCCACATGGACGTGTGGGGCCCGGCCCGCGTCCGTGGTCAGGGTCAGGAGAGGTACT